CAGCAACTCAACTTTTGACCACAGAGTAGATGCAACAATAAGAACAAAAATGCTCTTTAACATAAACAAGACACACATCCAACACAGGGGTGTTTCCTATGCAGTGGAGGGCACTCTTTAGAGGAATCAGAAGTCACGAAAATATGATCAATACTGACTAAGGGAACAAGAACTAATGAATGTACTGAGACATCGTCAGCTTACACGAAATTCTGTGAAATGCCTATCTAAAGACCAGGTTTGCCACGGGAGGCCTACCCCTTTGTGAGCAATTACAGAGGAGGGGTGGATTGAGGGAAATGGGAAGTGGAGGCTGAGGACAGGATGTAAAATTAATTAACTAATTAATTAATTTTTAAAAAACTTCAGTTCTTCAAACACACCATTAAAAAAATGAAAAGGCAACCACAAATTGAAACACACTTCCAAAGCTTGCATTTCCTGAGATACATTAAAAAAAAAAAATAAAAAAAGGTTTACCTGAATGTCAACATCTCCACCTTAATCTGATAATCAAAACCTTAAATGACAGAAGGTGGTAATCTTTATAAGAACTGAAGGCTTACCTGTACCAGATGTACTGACGCAAAAATAACAGATGATCTATAATAAAAAGAAACAGTGGTCCTTTAGCAATCATTTGCAAACGATTTGCAAAATGAGACCAATCTACTAAACACTATAATTTTTATAAGATCATCTACTTGTTTATATTAAAGTCCAAGTTTATGTTATTCAAGACATGAAATAGTTCCCAACTACAAATTTTAAAAATGGTTTGAGATGCTAAATTTAATCTAAGAAGCCTTAATCAAATCATTACTAGGAATCATGGTAGATTGCTCTTTAAAACAAACCAATTTGTATAAAATATAAAATATAATTCAAGATATTAACTTTAACTTTGTAACAACTATATAAGTAACACCTGGAGAAGTCTGTGAAAAGCAAAATTTCAAACACAGGCTTAAGACTTTTATATCATCATGTGTGCGTGCCCACGCGCGCACGCGCACACACACACACACGCACACAATCCTGTGCACACAGCTAGGTATAGAGCAAGGAGAAACATCTGAAGAAGAACATCATCTCTAGGTTGTAAAATGAAGAAAATTTTATTATGATATGCAGTTATTTATATGATCAAATTTTTCTACAATTATTTTAATCAATTACATATCTTTTCTAAATAAATCAAAACTTCATTTGTGATAATGAAAACTGAATATACCAAACATATATAAAATCATAGCCATTCACTATAGGTGGGACAAGGAGGAGAAGAATTCTGGGAAGTGGAAGGCTGAGTCAGAGACACTGCCAGCCACCACCATGACAAGTCGCATGTGAAGACACCGGTAAGCCACGAGCCACGTGGCAAGGTATAGATTTATAGAAATGGATTAATTAAAGATATAAGAACAGTTAGCAAGAAGCCTGCCACAGCCATACAGTTTGTAAGCAATATAAGTCTCTGTGTTTACTTGGTTGGGTCTGAGCAGCTGTGGGACTGGCGGGTAACAAAGATTTGTCCTGACTGTGGGCAAGGCAGAAAATCTCTAGCTACAATTCACAAGTTTTCAATTTTTTTTAATTGAATTTTCTCTTCATAAGGAACTCAAATCCAACATAAGGATGGCCTTAGAGGCCAGAGAGACAGGTAGTCACAGTACCAAACACCAAGGTGAACAAGTCTCCACATCTAAAAACATTTAAAGGTAAGAGGTTGGAAAGATGCCTCAGTGGTTAAGATCTGGGTTCAATTCCCAACAGACGCATGGTGGCTCACAACCACCTGTAACTTCAGCTCCAGGGGATCCTACATCTCTTCAGACCTCCATAGGTTCCTACACGTATATGGTACACATACATACACACAGGGACACACACATACACACATATGCACATAACACATACATACATACATACAAATATACATACACATAATATGGAATAAATAAATATAAAACTTACCTTGTCAGTCTGGTGGAAGAATTATATTAAACTATTAATTAATAAAGTCCTCATAGCTCAAAAAGGCTGGATCTCAATTCTTCTTCAGACCCTTGCTGGTTATTATATGTCAAGTCTATCAATGGTTAACCAAATTTGTAATTCGAGCAGTTTTGACATTCTCTCCGAATGTCCGTGTAAACCATTTGCAATGGTCTCTCACTTACACTGGGCTTACTCATCACCATCCATGTACAACATGTATAATGGCTAAGCCTAGGCGTAGATTAGCTCTAAGCTGAATTAAAGATAGGTAAGAATGAAAACATACATACATACATACATAGATGCATCTGTAGAAATAAGCTCAGACAACATGTACGCTAACTACCTTCTTCAGGTTCTGTATCAGAAGTCGAAGGAGAACACTTTTAAGTCACTAGGCCATCTAAAACTGCACAGTTGTAAAATGAGAACAAAGCGGTCCACCAACTATATAATCATAAAGCATGAATCACAGTTACCTCTGATGGCTTTGGTGATGATGAATGATGCCCCGTGCTTTCGGTTGCCTCTAGGCTACAATTTAAAAAAAAAATTAAACTTACATCTGAGAAGGTTACAATACTTACAACATATAAATTTATACTTCTCTACTTATATCGGGAGAATTGAGTACTACCGGTAATTTAAAACTTCTTCCAGACTGAAATAACATCATCTGGACTGTGTGCAGTGGCATAAGAGTGAGAACAACAGCTATGGGTACACTCCAGGAAGAACCCAAAAATGAGGTTAGAAACTGTTTTCAAATCAAAACACCGATAAAAAGATGAGGAAACCCAGGGGCAAGGCTGAGGTGAATCAAAATGGGAGAACTTGCCTATGATGTGCAAGGCCAGACAAAGGCCAGAGTTTTACCAAACAAAGACTTCACCAGTGGACAAGTTGGTACAGTCTAAACTTGGAGGAAAAGCAGTTATCTATTGTGTATCCATGAAGACAATGTTATTAACAAAACACAGATATATAACTACTACATTCAATAATTTGACTCCACAATCATAAACTACATGCTGTAGGATAAAGAATAACAAATATGTCATATGGTAAGACGCATTAAACTACTACCAAGAATAAAACGAATAAAAACATCAGTAAGTACAGACACATTGTTCCCGAAGAAGCTCACTCAGCAAACACAAAGAGATCATCGGGAGACAATCTGGCACAGTGGAGGGATATAAAAGTGAATCAGATGCAGAGTCAAGGGGTCAATAGCGGTGGTGAACAGATGTAGAAACCAATAACCAAGAGAGATGAGAGAGGGCAAAGTACGGTGAGGGTTCCATCTAAGTGACGCTGTGCTGGTTTTTAAATCAATGTGTAATGCTAAGCATTCTGAGACATTATTACAGACATTTCAGAAGTGTTAACATACCGTTATCCAACTAAAAGGCAGCAAGCAACAGCCTCTTAATCTCATGATCTACAAAATGTCCACATCATTCACATAAAAATAGGAACTAATAAAAACAATGTATGTAGATCTCTGCCCATACAAGATATAATTCAAGACAAGCGGAATAAACACTCAGGAGAGATGATAAAGGACCTCAGAGGGCTGGATTCAGGAATCTTTAATAAAGGTCCTTCTTGATCATGCTGTTTCCCCAGAGCCTAATACACAGGCATGTCAGGGTCTCCATATGTCAAATAAATGGTCCTGAAGTCCTGTTTTTCACCCCATGACTAGAAGGCTCTCCCTAGGTAACTAGTAACTCCAGAGTCCATAAGTTGGCAAACACCATAACTTCCTCTCCAGGAGAACTGGATAACGGCCATAGATTCTTTCTCTTCATTCACTCCCTTGGCATTCTGCTTAGACGGCCACTTAGGGCATGGTAATGAGAAACAACCACTAGTCGGTTGTCTCTCCTCCACAGCGGAAGTCCCATGAAGACGTTCATCTCTGGGACCCAGGTGTGCAGACAGACACACACACACACACACACACACACACACACACACTCGCCTATTACTGA